TGTATTACTTAAGAGGTCTTAAGTTCAAGTCTCTCATCGGTTGTTAATAGGAGTAGTCACTATAACTCTTACCTGATCGATAGTTTAAGGGTCTCGAAAGATTAATTGAAGTACACGTAAACTGACCCGAACAACTCTGATCATAAAAAAAAAAAAAAAGAGCATATCACGATATGATATTATTTTTATAGTTTTGGAAACAATTGAAAACCAAAAATTATCCAAAGGTAACTAGCAAGTTGTCTATCTAATTACCCCCCCAAAAAAGTAGTTGTCCATCTAAATCGAATCTTAAAAATAGGCCAAACGTAATTACTAAACCTTTCACTATTCCCAACTAAATTAATTGACCACTAATCTTCACATTCTTTAAACGTAGATACAAATATAGACGGAAATCAAGCGGTAGCTAATTAATGCCTATCAACCCAATTAATCACTTAATGAGAATAACTTTAAAATTTTAATACTTTAAATAAACTATATATTGCTTATAAATGTTTATGGAATAAAACCAAACAATTTAAAAAAATTTCAAAATTGTTTGTTCTTTTTAGCGGGTGGATAAACCGAACAAAAAATGACTGTAAAATCTTGTTAATTAAAATAAGATATATGAGAGTAATTGAGATAGAAGTGAAAATTGGATGGATGTGTCAATTGATTTGTGTGTGAAATCTCATTCTTCCATAAATACATATGACGTATGCCATTACATTTACAAGAATGAAAGCTGCCAATTTAAATGTCAGGTCTGCATTCTTCCAATTAATACTTATCTCCTCATGTTCAAATTATTGTTGGCCCATGTCAACGTTTTGTTTATATAAGGCTTCATGATAATTGAGACGTGGCAATGAATATTTTATAATTAATTCGATAGCTTTATGAAAATACTATACTACACTCAAGTAGCAAGTATTTATCCTTTTTTTTTTTTTAGTTAAAGTGGTAGGATGAGTGTTAGAATGTGTGATTAAGGTATACTGTCTCAAATTCGAATCTCCTTAACTTCTAAGATTTAGGTGGAGAGTTGTGATTATGGGTTATTGCATTAGTCTCCCCTAAAGATTTGCCATGGCTGTGGGTTACTACAATAGTCTCTCTCGAGGATTAGTCATAACAGTGGATTGTTATATTAATCTTTCTCAAAGATTAGTCAAAGTGCACGTAATCTAGTATAGACATTTTGGTTGTATAAAAAAAAAAAAAGTTACCAGGTATCTTTACATAAATAAAGAGGAAAAGACATTCAAATTAACCTTCTACGTAAAATAAATTACTCTGATCTAAACTTCCCCTCTTCAATCTTTTAAGTCCTAGCATTTATGATCATTCTTTCCATGATGTTGTTGTACAATTTCTTTTCATCAGAAAAACATTTGAAAAATGCGTAATTAATTGCTAACAAATGTTGGTAACAGACACAAATCCCCAATTCTTATTGGGCTTTTGATGGGCTGATTACAGCCCAAATAATTAAGGAGTGGTGAAAATTCTGCGACACGTTAATTCGTGGAATAATCTACAATTGGTTCTTCTTTTCTAATCCAAGTGCTGAAAATTTAACCAGTGAGGTTGAGTTTATTGAATTAAGAAGATAAGATTGAAAGATTTTAGAAAATTTTACAATCCTGACTACTCACAAAGGCCGAGTTCATAAAATAACATCGAATTTCTATCTTTTTTCTTCAATTAAAAAAAAAAGAAAAAAGAAAAAAGAAAAATTGTCGGGCAAAGAATTGTCAAAGCTTGATTGAAAAAAGCAGATCAAATCACTGGCATGGGCTGCGTTTATTCAACTATATAATGAAGTCAATCTAAGAATATGAACTCACACAGGATAAAGTTATGACTTTCAACTCATATCATTGAAATTCTTTACGATCAAAGAGCTTATAAAGTTGAATGGAATTTTTTATAAAAACATATATTAAAAAAAAAAAGACAAAAAAAAGTGGCCAATGGTTTGAATTTCAAAGATTCAAGAAAATTGTTTAGGGTTTGAATCAAATAAATTGTATGTCATAGAACTATCGAAAAATACGGCGATATATAGTGATTCGGTCCAAACCCGGCCTACGTTCACTACTCCAAGGGGCCCGGCCTACGTTCACTACTCCAAGCTATTCCCCTTGGAGTACTCCACTATCTCACTTAGTTTTCAACCAAGACTAAGATTTCTTCATAGAAATTGGCTTCCAAGGTGTGACTAAACCTTTACACAAGTGTTCTATCCAACACTGAAACCCAATTTACTTCAAGGTGTCAATTATACCTCTCACAACCAATAGGACTTACTTTCTCTCCCTAGAAAGGCCTAAAGCCCCCAAGAGTAAACCCCACTCTTTTACATTTTGAAATTTAAATTAATACAATACTGAAAACTCTTTTAATAGAGTGAATGAACAAGTGTTTAGTCAAATACAACCCAATCTACAAAGTATATATACAAGTGATGATGTGGCAAGAGTTTAAGGTTAGAATGTGAAATCTCTTTGAATGATTGAATACTTTTGGTTTGATGTTTTTGCAAGTTTAGTGTGACAAAAGTTGATTCAATATGATTTGGTTGGGTTTGTATAGAAAATCCTCAAAAATTTAATCATTATGCACAAAAATGAAATTTCCAGTTTGTCATTTGATTGATCTATTGTTGACGCGTCATTCGGTCGACCTATTGTTGATATGTCATTAGCTATTATAACTATCAACTGACGTTAGGTTGACTTAATGGTGCATTCGGTCATCCTAATAGGCTATTTGGTCAACCTCATAGTTGTCCTATTGGTCGTCCTTAAAACAAGACATTTTGTAATGCTTTTTTTCTAATAGGACAACCATTAAATGGGTTAAACTGCAATATTTTAAAATCATACAATCTATTTTAATCCCTAAACTTTAAAATATGACATTTTAGCCTATAATTAAAAATCAACAATAAAACCCTATTCGGTTGAGCTAATGGGTTAAACTGTGAAGATTTAAAATGTGGCAAATTTAAGTTAACCGTTTTAGTTTGAAAAATGATATTTAGGCCCCAATTCCACAAAAACCAAAATCAACTTTTTGAGAGCTTTCTTATGCGAAGGAAATTTTCTAACCAAGATTCATGTTTAACACATATAAAAATTGATTACAAGGAAATATACCTAGACTAAGCTTTCTTGAATTCCTTCAAATTCTTCATCCTAGCTTTATCTTTTTATTCCCTTCTTGATTAACCTTTGAATGCATTGGGAAATTTCCTTGTCATGTAAGTTCACGATTGAGTAAGAGTCATAGAAAACATGCATAGGGGCATATTAATTTGTTAATATCAAAATAAGAACATGAGATGACTCATTGAGTTGACGGATTTATTTTAATCAATTGTGTTTAATTGTTCTTATGAGGTGGGATCTTTTAACTTGACTTAAATTAAGATACAAATTTTGAGTCGTTGATATCTTGTAATCCAATGGGTGTGAGGACGAGTTTGCCACCTTAGCAATTCCTACACCAATGGATTGTATTAATCCACAACTAAAAATTTTAAGTAAAAGATCCCCTCCCTTTTTGGGTTANTAAGATACAAATTTTGAGTCGTTGATATCTTGTAATCCAATGGGTGTGAGGACGAGTTTGCCACCTTAGCAATTCCTACACCAATGGATTGTATTAATCCACAACTAAAAATTTTAAGTAAAAGATCCCCTCCCTTTTTGGGTTATTTCATTATGATAAACTTGTAGTTTTGGAATCGATTAATAAATTTATCAAAAATGATGTAAAGTTATAAATAATTTATATATACATGCTATTTTTCTTTGGGATTTTAACATAAAAGAAATCCTTGATTAATTTACAAAACCTTCAATCAAGCAATTGATCACTATTTTAGTTTCCATGAGCTTCTTAGATTCGATGCAATTTTCCTTTATGAGGTTATAATCCTTCTAGATGCAGTCCATTCTTGGATGCTTTGTATGATTATGAAATTGCGCACTTAATTAGGGTTTAGATTGATTAGGTTTTGACTATGAGGAAAACCAAGAATTAAAATATATCCATTAGGTATATGTTATTATGTATACCGATTTCAAACAAGATTTTGTTGCATTTTAATTGCATCAAACTTTTCTTGTACTCAATTATCTTTTGAATTTTAATATCATACACACATATTTATTTGTGGAAAATACTCTTATCTTCAGTTAAATCATCATTTCTATTGGTTCTATCAAATGAACAAGTTATGGAATAGACAGTTTTGAAGGCGACTGAAAATGGATTAATTCATTTTTATCCATACAAGTAATCGGGACAACAACATATTCAATGAAAGGATAAGCTCTCTATCCATCTCTGTGACGTGTGCATGCAATAGGTATATCTGGATTAATCTTAATTTTCTGCCCATTATTATGAAGAATTAACATCAGTTTTATATAAAAATAAAACAGATTTTATTTGTCAAAACAAGAGAGATTATATTAAATTTTTATGGCAACGCATTTAATGGGTTGAATTGTATTTATTTTAATTTAAAACTCATATTTTTGAATAATATATACTGTATTTTCCAAATCATAAACCAAACAGATTATCAATAATTTTTTTGGGGATCTTAATTTTGAAGGGTCATGAATATGTGAAAATCCAATAATTAAGTAGTGGTGAGGTAGGCGATCTTAATCATAATCCAAAGGAAGGAATGGTAGGCTTTTGTCACTCAAGGACGAATTGACATCCTATATATAATGACAAAATATACAAGAGAAAATTATCCATATCCTCTTTGTTTTTAATTATTTTAATGTATGTTAGGTGATATATTCTGGCAAATAAGAAGCAAAAATGGATTACAAGATACCACCATCACTCTTTCGCGGCCCACAACATTATATTAACATCTTATTTAATTCAATGCAATTCGTTTCCGTGCTGGGCACTGCAAATTACATTTGTTTATTGACTTTCTGAAGCAGCCCAAATTCGTCTATATATACATTCACAAAATGACTTAATCTGTCACATTTGCTGCGTTCATCACAACCCTTATCCTTAGAAACAACATATAGTTTTAGTCACAAAAAACCATGGAATCAACTGATAAACCAGCCACACCACCACCAAAATCTGATGAAGCTCCGCCACCAGCCATCCGCCGTGTAAACTGCTTTGTTGTTGATGTGGCACTTAGGGTTTTACTATTTGCAGCCACACTAGTTGCAGTTGTTGTCATGGTGACCAGCAAGCAAACAGAGGTTGTGCCAGTACCACCGACCGGAGTGATGATGCGACGTACAGCTAAGTTTAATCACTCGCCGGCGTTCATGTGAGTACAATTTAATTTTGTTTAATTTTACTAGAAAAATCATGTCCCTTATTTATTTTCTTAGTTACTTAAGTGTATATATCGATTTAGGTAATTAAATTTCTCTCATATGTTTCGCATGCATGGTTTTTCAGACCTTAAATTAATTAGTTACATGGAGCTTTTATAGATGATTAAAAAAGGAATTGAGCTGAGCTCTGTTAACTGTTATAAATAAATATTGAATGAGCTGATAGAGAAATTAATTTCTCATTATGGCAGGGTCTTTATTAAGAAATGTCTTGCTTTATGCATAATTATAATACTCTTGGATAACTTTAGTCTTCAGGAAATTAAAGTTGCTTTTAAATTAATGAAGTTGGTAAAGACTATGACTAAAGTTGGTAAAGTGGCTTTTTCTTATTATTTTTATGTTATCATATATAGATATATATTTATCGTTAATTTGATAATTTTATTATCTCATATTTTCAAATATTTCCTATTTTGTCTGTGTATAACCCAATTCAAATTTTATGTTATGTAGTAAATTTATTTAATATTTTTTAAATATAGTCATTAATAACTTATTTTTGGATATATATTATAAATACTTAAATATGTAAATATTAATTTGTAACTTGTAAAAAAGGAAAAATCTGTTGGATGAGATGCTACTAGAAGAGAACTTATGAATCCCTTCACATTTTTCTTTGATATTACATTTTATATGTAGATGTTTAAAGAGTGAATTTAGAAAAAATAAAAAAAAATTATTTACTCACCATTATTTGAGTATATTAAGTAAGATTAATTGATTTCTTATGTGTTTGTGCAGATATTTTGTGACAGCATTATCGGTCGCTTGCCTATACAGTATCATAACAACGCTTGCATCGTTCTCAACCATTTTGAAGCCTGCTTTCTCAAAGAAGTTCTTGCTCCATTTTGCATTTTGGGACGTGGTAAGTTTAATTAATTAACTCTCTCTATATTAGATGTATCTAATTCCTTAATTTGATTTAGTTTATATTATAAATTGAATACTAATTAGCTTCTACATTGCGTTCTCCTCATGGTGCAGTTGATATTTGGGGTGGTAGCTTCAGCATTAGGAACCGCCGGCGGCGTAGCATATATTGGATATAAGGGCAACAGTCATGTTGGGTGGACTAAAGTTTGCCCTAATTACGACAAGTTCTGTGATTATATTATAAGCTCCCTTGCTATGTCACTTCTCGCCTCCATCGTTCTTGTTTTGCTCATCTTTCTATCCATTTTCTCTCTTTACAAACGGGCTCGTGATTAATTCATTCAATCAATCAAATTAATTACTCTACTTAATGCTGTGTTAATTTGCATGCCTTGAGCATGTAGTTTGTGTATGTTTTAGAGAAACTAGCTAGTTCATTCCTTTGTGTGCAAATCAATGTTGTCATGTGTCATATATTTTTTTATGGAATATTTCTTTGTAAGTTTTAGCTATAATACGTGTAATTGCTTTGGATTAATGAATAATAGTTATCGTATTTCTTTCACATAGATAAATTATCAAACATATATGAATCATACGTACGTAGCATCAAATTGAAGCCAACGACATTGATCTGTATCTATTATATTTAAACTAAACTTTCAATTTTGTGTAATTCACTTTATTTTCAATCTAACTAATGTTAGGAGAAACCCCGGTCCAGGAAATGAAAGTTCACAATAACACTGAATAATCTTAATGAGCAAATAAATGAAGGAATCACTATTAATTGAAAATGCATGCTAGCATAATTGATAGTAACTGCACAATTAATTTGTAAAAGCTGGCCCTTATATATATATATGTTTGCAAAAACAACGTGTAAAACGAATAAATCTTCAACCTCGTTTAGATTAGAATTAAGCATAATTAACTAAGCATGTGCATAATATAAATCTTTTAGGTGACAAGTACATTTATTTTTGACTTTTGTGGTGCACCCAAATTTTCATCTATACACACACACACACACACACTAATGACTTAATTTGCCACCTTAATTTGCTTCAATTCGTTCACCACCTTTGCCCTTATAAACAAAAAACAATTTTAGCCACGAAAAACCATGGAATATTCATAGCTGCCACTCCAAAATCTGAAGCGCCGCCGCCACGTGTTGTTGATGTGGTTCTTAGGGTCTCACTAGTTGCAGCTACGCTAATTGCAGTTGTTGTCATGGTGACCTTCTACATACAGCCAAGTTTCATCACTCCCGCCCTTCGTGTGACAACCATCTATTTAAAACAAAAATCTTGTCCCTTATTTTATTTTTTAGTTACTTTAAACTTTAAAGCATCTCAAATTTAAGTAATTGTATTTCTCTCATATTAACATGCAGATGATTTGTGTTATGCCTAAAAAGTCGAGACTGATATAAGCTTATGTCAGTAATCACCAATCAGAATTCAGGGAGGCTTTGCGCCGTCTAAGAGCTGCCACGTCGCTCTATGACAGAAAAAGTATGACTGTCACCAACTTTGTAGATTCAGGTCTTGCCTATGAGTGAATAACACATCTGTCCAAGCCCCAGGTAATTTGAGAATATTACCGAAGTTATTGGCCAATGGGATGCAAGGAAGGACTTGCACGACACCTACCATTTGTGGATTTGTAATCATTACCTTAAATTCCTCTACTATAAATAGATAACTCTCTCTTTCATTTTCGGGATTCTGAGACAAAAAACCCTCATTCTGTTGTAATCTTTATTTTTAGAGCAAAGATAACATAAGAGAAAGAGACTGATTTAATATTCAACCTGAATATTCAGTTATTGTATCTCCGCTTGCAGTTCGCTATATGTGATCTCTTGTAATCTCTCATATATAAAGTATCAGTGGATGTAGGATTCGCTTGAAGCATCCAAACCACTTTAAAAATCATCTTTCATTTATTATTCGGCCTTTGCATTAGATTATCATATTTATTCACGTGTAATTTCTAAGAGCTACTTAGCACTTTGCACGTGCGAGTCGTTGGTGTCAAAATCAAGCATCAACAGTTTGACGCTAGAAGAAGGGCCTAATTTAGTATTCGCTCTTCATCAGGAATCTTTGATCAACCAGTTCTATTTGCGAACAAATGGCTCATGGTCTTGAAGTCGAGCGAGCTAGCACCAGCAATGAGGAGATCCCCTAGGTACAGGATGATACTTCTCTTGAAGTACCTCCGATTCCACAAGGTACCGTGGCGGATATTCCCTCGAGCTTACAGCTCGACCCAACTGTGATGAATTACCTGGAAAGGTTCAACAATACTCTCCAAACGGTTAGCCGAAGGTTAGATCGTTTGGATCATGTCGTATCGCCCAATTTTGATAAAGCGGTGTTGTTGTCGAAGAAGCCTGTAGGTCGCACTAAAGCATGGAAACGAGCGAAAGCCCATGCCGCGTGCACTACAACGCGTAAAGATAAGGGGAAGCAAGCGGTAGATAATAGGCCAAAGGGCTCCAAGGGACCAGCGAATACTGGTCATGAAGCAGGTAGAATACCTATGGCTTTGCAACTTGGCGGTATGTCGCATCATGAGCCAGCCCATGCCACATCGCATGGGCATCCCCACAAGAGTGCAACGCAGGGAGATTCCCATCATCGCCGAAGTGATGGTTTGACCATCACTGTGAGGGAAATTCCCACCTTCCAGGGGTCGGTTTTGACAACCGCGGAGGTCGAGATAGCTCCCTTGGCCATTACAGGCCTTCACATGGCTCTAGTCAGCGTGTGCTAAGGTATGTCGGAGAATCCGGTCGAGGTGAGGAAGAGTCCAACTTACGGTCTTTCCTCAACCGCAATCATGAGGGGCAAACCCACGTTGCGGAAAGTGATCCCTAGATAGCTCTGTTTTCTCAGATTGAGGAGTTATAGTGAGTTTGGATCAAATTAGAGATCAGTAGAATGAGTTGCGGAAAGTGATCCCCAAATAGCTCTGTTTTCTCAGATTGATGAGTTATAGTGAGTCTGGATCAAATTAGAGCTCAATAAAATGAGCGAGGGTAGGTCGTTGAGGTGTCTCCCTTTTCTCCAGTAGTATTTACTGCTCCTCTTTCGTCAAGATTTAGAATGCCCGACATATGGGCATTCGATGAGAATTTCGATTTGTAGATCATCTTTATGAGTTTAACGACCTAATGGAGCTTCACCAAGTTTCCAACTTGGCTAAATGTCGTTGCTTAGGAGTGACTCTGACTGTCCACGCCAAGCGTTGGTTTAGATCGCTTCTGCCAGCATCTAACAGGAAGTTCTCAATGCCATTGAGCTATTTGAGCAACATATGGCAGGAGAACGGTGAGTCCCTCAAACCTTATATCAATAGGTTCCACAAGGAGCTGCATAAGGTGGCTAATAAGCCTGAAGAGTTAGTTCAAACTTTTATTATTGCAGGAGTTTGCTTGTAAACCGATTTGTGGAAAAAGCTACAGTCTGAGGATGATATTTCCCTCACCCATTTCTACGACCTCACTGAGAACTATCTCAGGATTGAAAATTCAGTGGCCACCTTGAACCGCCACGACCCCAATCCTTTGATTAGTGCTCCTAGTTGGAGGGAGGAAAACCGGGAGAAGGGTAGTAGAAAGCCTGATCGCAAATGGGCTAATGATGATCAGAGAAAGGGAAAGAAGTAGCGATTTGAGCCCAAGAAGTCAATGCCCAGGTCCCTGATAAGAGTAAGAAAATGCATCTTATTACTGCTTATTTGTTAGCATTTAAGATTGATTTAGGGCTGGATTTATGCCTTAATAATTCTTAAGCGTCATTCTTATTACATTGATTTATTTTGATGCATTTTCAGGTATTTTGGACTTAAAATAGATGGAAAGGCTAATAATGAGGAAAGCACGAAGATTCTACGCATATCGGAGTTAAGGAATGGTTTCGGAAGAATAAAATGAAGAAAAATTCTGGTTTGTGCTGCGACATGGAAGCGATTTTCTGGTTTTCTATTTACGATTTCTCTCGACCTTTGTAGGGCTTTAATGATATTTTTAGCCCAAAAATACCCTTGAACTTCGTGAGTTATTTATAGAACATTTAGGGTTTGCTAAAAAAAAAAGTAAAGTTTTGTTAGAGAGAGCTTCCCTTTTTTTCCTTGATAGGCTATTCACAAGTGTACGAAATCGCACAAGTAATAAAGCTTGAGTAAACGAGTGTCGAATCCCAAGAGAACTACCTACCAAGTACCAAACTAGTCTATTTTGTTGCTATTTGGTGAAACAGAATTTTAAGAATGAATTTAATGAAAAAGAAAACAAACTAAAAACTAAACAAAAGCAGAATTTTATTAATACTTTGATAAACAGATCAATATGACTAAACCAAGGGCATATATTTCAAACCAATTTAATCCCATGCATTGACAATTATTGCTAACCTAATTAAGCTTATTCTAAAGGCCAAACTCCCCTGATATTCCACTAACCTTCTCTCGAACAATTAGCAAATTAACCCTTAAGCAACAACCCAAAATATCTCTAAGTTGGATTTAGGAGCTAAGAGATCATTAAGTTCTATGGAATTTACTAGAGTCTCATAGATTGCGGTAACCTATCTCTAGCGTTCGCTCAATCTATGGTTTTATTACCTTAGACATATTAGGTTTCATCTCTCGATCTCAACCCAACCCATGATATAATTCAACTCTCAGATCCTTAAGATTGAAAGCATTACACACAATAATAAAACTTAGAATTAATGCTCAATAAGAATTAACAACAATAAAGCCAACACATATTCATAAATTGGGCTACATCTTTAGCCCTAGAAAAGGGATTTAGTTCATAATTGAAATAATAAAAACAACGATTGTATTCAATAGCATGAGTTCAAGAAAGAAAAATATAAAAACTTCTCTAATTGGTGAACAAGAACTACAAGAATTCCGATCTTCAAAATACTAGCTGTCCTTTCTCCTTCTCTAATCTCTTTAAAAACTACTTAAAGACCCTTATTTATAGTGCTAGGGTTTGGAGGTTACTTAGGAAAGAATTAAATGCTTAACCCATTCAGATTCGGACTAGGAGAATGCAATAACCCAAACAGGCCCTTGACCCCTCGCTGCGACGATAAGAAACGGTCGCTGCGGCAATCGTTCTTTCTGTCCAATGAGTATGTGATCTTTAGAATTTGGTAAAGTCATCAAACTTTGTAGTTCTCTGAATAAGATTTCCAACGCCACAAGAATTGTTGAATTTCGATTTATACAACTCAGGTTATGACAGAAATATCGAAGCATGCTCATCTTGAAGGATTTCCAGATTTTACGTTGTATCTTCGACGCGTGACAACTTTCTCGTTTCAACTCTGATTCGTGCACCGTTTGTTCTTACTCATCATCAATTCTATCGACATCATTATTTTTCCTTCATATATCAGTTTGAACTTGAAAATACTCAAAATACACCCGTGATCCCGTAAAAAGTATTTATGAAATAATTAATTCAAATTCCACAATTTAAACACAATTTCCCACAAATAATCCAATTAAATCACAAACAAAATA